CATATATATGTTATCTCACAATTTTCTAGATTTGTTGTCGCTTACCTTATTGTTCAAATTTATCAACTCATTCTCTAAAATTAAATTATAAATTTTAAACTTTCATTAATCAATATTTGTTCAAATTTTTTTTGATTTTCAAAAGGAATACATAGCAATTTGTCAAATTATATTTAATATATTATGCCAAATTATTATGGGAATATGCTAAAATTTGAGAATCATATCACCTTGATATTGTAACAAATCAATCTAACATTTGAATTTCATACCCCATAACAAATAAAATTCATATCACTTAATACCGACATTTCATACTAAAATAAAATCGCACACTTTATACCATATATTCATACATTTATTAATAACACATTTCCTAACCCAAAAGAAAAATATGGTCATTAGATCTCTTAAATAAAACGTCCACTTTATACAGAAATCAGATTTATTATTTTTGACAACTTTATACAATAATTTGATATTAATTAATTTATAGAGTCGGAATTAATAACTAACACATTTCCATTTGTTTGTAATTTGAAAGAGTGTAAGTTCATATTGAATTTGGGATTAAAAAAAGTGGCACGACAAATAGAGATGAAAAAAAAAAAACAAAGAGTTAAATATTTTACAATAATTTTAATGATAATAAATTTTGAGAAAATATAAGAATTAAATTGATCTAATATTAAAATGGTAAATATTGATTGGATGATCATTATCCGGGTACGAATTGTATATGTTATTGTTGAATGTGTTGTATAATTGTTTTTTAATATTTGCTAATGAGAATTTTTATTATTAACTATGTTGCGTATTTTTTTTTTATTTCTAAGTTTGTTAATGAGATTGTGGCATAGATAGAGTGAATAATGTATTTTAAAAAATAATTTGTATCTACTCAAAATTCAAATAAAATAATATTTATCTAAAATATTTGCATAATTTGAATGGTAACAGTCATCATATTTGACCATAATGATTGTGTACATTAATTACATTAATTTTTTTAATTTGGATTTTAGCTGCCATTTTTGAAAAATATTTTAAAAAATTACTACCAATGGGCAAAATGGAAGTTGTAGGCAGAATTTTAATTACTATTTAATCCATCATATTTGTCTGACTTTTGAAAGCTCATTTTTCTAAAATGATAAAATCAAACCACATCAAATATTTTTAGTAATTATCACTGAAATAAATAATCGTGCAACTATCCCAACACTTTCGGTTGTGATATAGAGTCCTACATCAATTTTTTTAGATAAAAATCAGAAAAGGAAATCCGACCCAAAACTTTTCAAATTTGCCAAAAAAATCAAAGTATAATAATAGGCGGCAATTGCGAAAAATTTTAAAAAAAAAAAAGTTACTCTTTTTAGTTATTTTTTGGCGGGATTTCACCTTATTTTTTAGTTACTATTTTAAGATTATTTGAGTTGTCTCTTTATATTTTAATAAATAAACATAAATTCCTAAAATATAACAAGTAAATAGGAAAGTTCTAACAATATCTTTTTTTTAACTACAATTACAAAAAAAGATCCTAAATAGATGGGTCACATGTTTTTAAAATGTTTCCTTAAATAGAAGGTCAAATTATATAATTAAAAAGTCAAACTTTCTATTTAAGTATTTTTTCAACAATCTTTATATATATATATATATATATAGATTGTATAAAATGAAATGGATAATATACTTTTAGAAAATTTTTATTTGCCTCCTAATTAAAGTTCATGGTTTTTTCACTTTGCCTCCTAAACATTATTTTCCATCCAAATACTTTGCATTTTTTTTTTTTCATCACCATCCTCTATCAACCTTCTATTTATCTCTGTTTGCTCTCATCCCCAAATTCTCATTTTCTTTCTTTAAACTCTAACATTCAAAATCCCTAAAACCTCAACTCCGAAATTCTCAAATTCATAATCTTCATATCCCTTCAAAAATTGAATTTGAGACCGAAATACTCACATGGGCTGGAAAGTTCGAAAAGAGGGTGACAATGACGAAGCCTCCATAGATTGTTCCTCTTCATTCGAGTTATTCACTATCAGATTGCAACATTCTGGTATGTTTGTAAATTTGGGAAAAAAAATTATTTGGGTGGTGATGTTGCTTATACTGATGATTGCAATGTTGATGAGTTGTCATTACTTGAACTGAATGGTATGTTTGATGAAGTAGGAATGAAAGAGGTCTTTAGGTTTCATTGTAGTAAAGGTATGGTTAATGATTGTGTTTGTCCCATTTTTGTTGCATTTTTCATTGTCTCTTTGTCTTTCTTTTTCTCCCATATTGAGTCTTTTTGTTGGGTTTTATTCGTTTTTGTAGTTTATTGCTTGATTTGGTCTATTTTGGTTTTTCTTGTGTTTTCGTGTGTTTTTCCGGTTTTTTTTCTTTGTTTATGGTGTGTAGGTTTGAAGCTTCGGGAGGACCTAATTATGGGGCAAAGCTTATTGTGCAAGCATAATTAAATAGAGGAGTTCGTTGGCAAGACACAGGAAAAAGCAGAATCGAATTTCGAGTTCAAACGAGCCCAAACGAGCCCAAACCGTGAAATCGTGCAAGGCTGTCGGGCCATAGCGCCGCTAT